TATTATTTGCTCCTAGAAGTCATCTGGCATGCGTGGTCCTTGTGATCCCGAGGTGCAGCTGAAGGTGCTGCAATGTGGATGCTAGCTCAATTTTGCTTCATTACTAAATGTTCTTAAAAGTTCTCAACCTCTTCAGCAATAGTTGCTACTTGCTAGTGAGAACGGAAGATGTCCTGACTTGGCTCATGACTGCAATCTCTAGCCATTTAATCTTGTTTGTAGAAATTGATTTTTATGCTCTTTTGATAGTATCTGTTAATGATTAGTGTCCATTTCCTCCTAAAATTTTGTGGATTTTCTAGTATAGTCTCTCTCACTACAATAGGCCACATTAAAGTTAGCAAGTTAAAACCAAACTTTTCCATATCACATGTTACTAATAATGTTGAGGAGAGAATATTTGTGGTATATTGGAGATGGACAAAACTGAATAAATATGTTACTTAGGAGCTGCAGTACTTTTCTTTCGCTTGTTTGATCGAATTCAGTACACAAACTCACTGAAAATATGGGTTTTAATTTTCTCCAGCATGCTATGAGACACGGACTTGTGCTAGTAGAGTATGCTGATATTGTTTCTTGATTTACAGCTTAGCTGGATATATGACTGAAGAAGAGGTGCTCAATGGAGTCATCTATCCTTCAACATCGAGGTTAGTTTTGGAGCATTTAGCTTTCAGAATTTTATTTTCATGACGTCTCTTTTACACTATTTCCGGTGCAGAATACGAGACATCACTAAAGAGGTAGCAGCAGCTGTAGTGAAGGAGGCTTTAGAAGAGGACCTTGCAGAAGGCTATCGTGGCATGGATGTTAGGGAACTCCAGAAACTAAATGAGGTAATATTACAAACTTAAACCTATTTTTTTTTAAAGAAAATCATCATGCAAACAGGCATTTCATCCATTGGCCCGAGATTTATCGTACATGCCTTTGATTTATGCTCTCATATATGTATTTGTTTTAGTTGAAACCCTGTACCTGAGAGCTGGGTCACAAGAAACTGTTACTTGTTGCCTTCCTTTTGAAGTCGTTGTCTGTCATGTTACCCCCTCAATTGGGATCCAGACTCTAATAGTAACTGAATTTTAATGTTGTCTTGCAGGAGGAACTTCTAGAATATGTAGAGAACAACATGTGGAACCCAGAATACCCTACTTTAGTGTACAAGTAGATCTGAGACTATATATAAGGGTGAAGGAGAAAATGCGTGTTGTATTGAAACTAGAGAAGTGGTATTGTACCCTGCCACAGTTGCCATCTTTTCTGATAGACACAAATCACACACATAATAGCTATTTTTGCTCGAATGGGGCACTGTCAGTTCTTGCTGCTTATCTGTCCGTCTCTTATTTTCTGGTGTATTGCAATTTGCTGGTTTTGGTCAGGCTCTATTCACCATTGTTGTTTCCATTGCAAGTTCGTTTTCAGGGTAGTATGGCGTTAAAATTGTAGAGGACAGTCAGGACACAAATGGTTGCACGTTGTATGTAATACGAAGTATATTGGTTATCATAACATCTAAATGCTAACTCCTGTATATTTATGTCTGTCAAATTACATACGAGTACATAAATATGAAGTATTTATCAATGTTATTGAAGGTGGCGTTTGCTAAATGTAGAACTTATAACTTCCGCTGGAAGCGTATTCTTATTAGTGTTACGGATTTACAAAAACACACCAAAACTTTCAGGTTTTTAGAGAATATTAAAAGTGATTTGTCTCTTGAGATTCATTGAGTAAAAATTGGACTTCATCAATGCAACAGATGGAGAGAGAAAAAAAAAAAAAAAACAGGTTCTCTATGCAAACTTGATTGATCAACAAGTCTGCCATTGATCTACTGTTTTTTTTCTTACTTAAGTGTGTTGATTGGTTATATAAATTAGGATAAGGAATAAAAACATATCAATGCTAAGGTTGCTCAAATTTCTTGCTCCTAATCCTTTTGGTCAACACCATTACAATGTTATGCTTGATCGAAGCCTTTTTCTCCTAGTTGGTATCAAGTAGGGAAAAAAATTGCTCTTTATATGTGTCAATATAATGGTGGGTAAGGGGCAATAAGTTTATTAACTAGTCGAGCTAAGACCAAGCTGACTAAGACCAAGCCTAGGCAGACTCGGCTTGAGCTCAAGCTCGTCAAATTTGGAAAAATTGAGCTCAGCTCAAGCCTCGACACTTGATCAAGGCTTATCAAGCCCAAAATAATATAGGCCTAAATGGTGCCTACATTCATTCCTACGTATTTCAATTACAATTAGATATCGCTTTCATAATTTTTATATTCTATCACTTGCTCATATCTTTCGATGAGGGACTATTTTTTTTTCAACGGAGGGACTACTTCCTTTCTCTTTCTTTCGTTGGTTTTTTTCTACATAAATAACAACAAAAACCATGAAGGAAGGCTACAACACTTAGTTAGAACGCACACTTGTCTTGTGAATAATACTTTGTATGAAACAAAGTTTATATTTTCAAAAAAAAATAAAAAATAAAAAAATGAAACGAAGTCTATGATAATAATAGTTAATTTATTAAAAAAATTAATAATATACAAAAAAAAATACTCGAGCTTATTCACAACCTTTTGAGCTGAGATAAGGATAGTTGAAACTAAGCTCGTTAAATCTCAAGTCAAATCTAAACCCGAGCTCTGACTAAGCCGAGCTTGTTGTTAACACCGAGCTCTGAATAACTATCTTGTACTCCCTCTATTTTTTTTATATATAAAATGCATCACTTTCCTTTTAAGGGTGTTTTTTTTAAGTGCATCACCTCTCTATGTGATAACTTTATATTACATCCGTTAAAAGTTATGTACAACTTCAAAATATTTTATATCTCACGAATAATAACCCATAGTTGCACATAACATTTAACGAAGGTAAGACTATATTTTATCATTTCTCTCTATTACTTTAAACCCCACATTAATTATTTTATCATTTTTATCTCTTCCATGATCCCCACTTATATAATAAAAATATTTACACTCCTCACATTGTCCTTCTATCATGGTCTCCCTCTAACTTTTACTTCATATCTAATATATAATTTAAGAGTTTTTTTTTTCTAACTTTCATTCACAACACTCCAAATTCTCATCCCTGCAATTCTAGCCATCCAATTTTTAATTTTTTTTTTTTTTTTTTGAAAAAAAAAACCAATAACCACCATTGTTACTCATAACTACCCATATCACTCAATTAAAATCTAGCCCTCTATTAAAAAAAAAAAAAACAAAACAAAATAATAACCACCCTTCTAATATTTTTTTCCTCATAATATATATACTACATATATCCCGTGCATGAGCACGGGTATTATAATAAATTATTCAGTCACTCACAATATTTACTACCTCCGTTAACAGTTATTTGCAACGAAAGGGACATGCGCGGACATGATTATTGAAATACAAGGGTAGTAGTTAAGTATTAATCTAATTTTAAAAAAAAACCACAATTAACCAAAATCAATAAACCACCAAAATCAAAACCCACAATCACCACCACCAACACCACCACCGAAAACCACCACCACCTTCAACCCAGAACCCACCGACAACTACCCCAACCGAAACCCAGAACTCACGAAAACCACCACCAACAAACCGACCGAAACCACCACCACCGAAAACTCCCCCCACAAATTGAATTAATCCCAACCACCACCACCACCACAAATTGAATTAATCTCAACCACCACCACAAAACCCAACACCACCTAGACAATCAACAACACCCACGAAACCTAGAACACCACCTAGACCCCCGACATGCGATCTAGATAGAAGATGGGGAAGATGAAGGAGTAAGATGGAACCACCACCACTAATTAAACCACCACTAATTGAACTACCACGAAACCCAATTAAACCGAAACCCACATGCGACCACCTCCACGAAAGAAACCAGACCCACCCACCACGAAGACCCACCCCCACAAACTCACGCCACCCTCATGAAACTCACGCCACCCCACAAACCCAGATTCCAAACCCGTAAAATCGAGACCATTTTTCCAGATCTGAATTGAGTGTCCTTCTTCAATTCATGAAAAGTGGTTGAAGGAGGAGAGAGAAAGTTAATGTTGAAAGGATAAATATGTAGATATTAGATTATGGAGAGGAAGAGGAAGTGGATGATGAAAGAGGAGATAGAAAGATAATGGGGAAGATGATGAAGATGAATGATTTTAATGAAATTGAAGAAGGGTGAGGGATGAATGATTCTAATGAAATTGAAGAAGGGTGAAGGAGATGATGAAGCTGAATGATTTTTGGTGAAAATGCAAAATGATTACAATAATCAGATTGTTAGGTAAAAGTTAAATCAAGTTAATAATTTAATTAGATGTCTAAGTTGTTTAAGTAAGGGTAATATGATCATTTTGTTGACAAAAAGTTACTAAATTTGGAAAGAAAAAAAATTTATTGCACATAATAGGTAGCTTTCCAAAATGACAAATGTTGCAAATAACCGTTATCGGAGGTAGTATTATCTTCCTAAAACTCCGCGCATCACCAAGTGATGTAAATTAAAAAAAAAAGGATTACTTTACTTCCTCCGTTCTCTTTTACTTGACCCGCTTTGACTTTTACACTATTCACCACCCCTCCTCTGACCGTCTTTTGTAAATGATATGTAAGGAAAAATATATTCATATGATATCTTTTTTAATTCGTCTCAATGAGTACTATCGTAATATACAACTTTTATAATTTTTACTTATGAAGAATTGAAGTTATTTCGCTAAAGTCTTGCATTGGTAAGCGTGATAAAAGAAACATGTCAAGTGAAAAAGAACAGAGGAAGTATTTATTTATTTTATTTGTCTTTCAAGTTAGACATAAAAATGTCGAAAAAAAAAAAAAAAAAAAAACTCGAGGGAGAACATCAGCTTAGCTAACTCACCGCGCTCTCGCCAACGGTACCGAAGGCAAAGACCAATAATAGTAGTGGGGACCGGACCTTTCCTCTTTCAAATTTTGAAACTTCAAACTTCAAACACTTTTTTTTCTTGAAACCAAATCCAAATACTTCAAACTGAGTACCATTATAACGAATTTTATGTTTTTATTTTATTTTATTTAAATTTAAATTGAAAAAAAAAAAAAAAAAAAACATCGACTGACCAAAAGACTCTTCTCATAACTTTCATTCCTTATCCCCTATTTTCTCTCCATTTTAACATTAAATTAATATTTTTATTACAATACATTTCCAAACTCCCTCTTTTCTTCAGCGTGTCAAAAACCCCCCAACTTTCTCTCTCTTCCATTTCTACTCCCCTGCTTCTCCACCACCACCATAACCAGAACCTTCTTCTAATCTTCTTCAACACTCAAACCTCGAATTTCTAGGGTTTCAATTTTCCAAATATATCAACTATGGAGAGTTTGATTGGACTCGTCAACCGAATTCAACGAGCTTGTACTGTTCTCGGTGACCATGGCGGTGGTGACTCCTCTTTCTCTTCTCTCTGGGAAGCTCTTCCTTCTGTCGCCGTCGTCGGTGGTCAGGTACTTCTGATTTTTTCTCTCTCCTCTTCATACTTCAATTTCATCAGTTTTTCAGTTGAATTTTAACTTTTATTGTTGAATTTTGTAATTTTTTAGAGTTCTGGAAAATCTTCTGTTCTTGAGAGTATTGTTGGCCGTGATTTTCTTCCTAGAGGATCAGGTTGGTTTTTCTAATTCATTATTGTTTTTATTGAGATTTTTTTTTTTTTTTCCAATTTTGTTGAGTTTGAAGGTTTTAAAATTGGAATATTATGGTAGGAATTGTGACGAGACGGCCATTGGTGTTGCAATTGCATAAGACAGAGGATGGATCGAAAGAATATGCTGAGTTTTTGCACTTGCCGAAGCGTCAGTTCAGTGATTTTGGTATATAATTCTTATCCATTAAGCTAATTTTTACTTCTGTTGTTTGTTTGAAGGTTTAGAACTAAATCATGATTTAATTAGTAATAACATTTTGATTAGATTAGTAAATGATGGAAGGTTTGTTCTTGTTGAGTTTCTGCACTTGTCTAAGTGTTGGTTGGTTTAAGGTTTTTTTACTGTTTTGGTTTGTAATTCTCATCCTTTAGCTTGTAATTTTGATTTGTTTATAATTTACTAGTAACATTTAGAGACGGAGGGAGTAGAATTGAAGCGTTATTCGTTTCATGTATCTTTGTTATTTTGATTTGAGATTGGTCCATACTGATAGGATTTCCACATTTAACTTTTTAAGAGTTTTAAGCTCTAAAATTTAAAGTTCTACTAATCCTTTTAGCATTATTTGCACTTTTTTTTTTTTTTTTTTTTTTTTTTTATAAAAAAGGTAGCTACTTTTAAATATACTATACATTGTACTTTCATGTAATACTGCAAGTCTTGTGTACTCCTGCTACTTGATCATTTATTTTTCAAAATTCTTTAATTTTTTCAATTTTAGGATGTAGAGTGTCTTCACATGACCTTTTGTTTTTGCTATATGTACTTTGCACTTTTCAATTGGTTACCTAGTATTACTATTTTGCCATCTCTGACACTGGTTTGTGCAAAGGTCATTTTTTGAATATTTGTTTATATGTTTTCGTTTTTAGCCCTTGTTCGCAAGGAGATTCAAGATGAAACTGATCGAGTAACAGGAAAGTCGAAAATGATATCACCCGTTCCCATTCACCTCAGCATTTATTCACCTAATGGTAAAAAAATTAATTTACATCATTTTTGTCCATTATGCAGGGCTTGCCCTATATTTGTGCTGTGCTTTGCTAGTGTTATTGAACATTTTCTCACTGTTTTTACTGCTTTTTTAGTTGTCAACTTGACCCTCATTGATTTGCCTGGTTTGACAAAGGTTGCTGTAGGTGAGCTTCCCAGCATTTTTTGGAATACATATGAATATATAAGTATATCTTTATTAGCTTGTTGTTGAGTTTGGTTATTTATTTATTAATGGTTTTTAACCCCAGAGGGTCAGCCTGAGAGTATCGTCCAAGACATTGAGGACATGGTTCGAACATATGTTGAAAAGGTAATTGCCAACTTCATCATCGTGTCTCTATTTTTGGTCATGTCTGTACTCTTATCATAATATTCTGATTACTCATCATCCAGACCCTGTAATTACAACCTTTCTGTTCACCTCCATGGTTACCATGCAAGTTATATTTTTATAATTTTATGGATTGCTTTGTAATCATAAAGCATCTATGCGTATGCAATATTTGAATCTTACATTCCTGTATGCTTTGATTTCTTTTACAAGCTTAGAGGAGGGGGCTATTACATATTGAATTACTCAGTGGGTTTTTGGTTAACACATTTTGGGAACTAAAAGTGGATTTGAAATAGAGCATATCCATACTTGTATTTTAGTTTAGAAAAAATGCCTAAGTTGAAACAAGGACCCACTCTCCAAATCTCCTAGTTATGAAGTTCCTCCGACAAGCCCCACCCAAGTTTTTTTTCTTTTCATACTGAGGATTCTAGTTTGATTCTATGTGTGTGGATGATAGAGTGATATATTCAAAGTGGTAAGTGTATTTGGTTTGGAGTTGTTGAATGAAGTAGTATGTTGTCATTCTAATGTTATAGCATTTTCTTTTATAGCCCAATTGTATTATTCTGGCAATATCACCAGCAAATCAAGATATAGCAACATCAGATGCCATGAAGCTTGCTAAAGAAGTGGATCCCCATGGTACTTTGATTTTTCTTTACATGTGCGTATATTTTACCAATTGTTTTCTCATCTTAATATCTTTTTTCTGATGAGTTTTTAACATAAATGTTCTAGGTGATCGAACCTTTGGTGTTCTAACAAAGTTGGATCTGATGGATAAAGGGACGAATGCCTTGGAAGTATGTTACCTTTAGCTCAAATTCTTTTTCCTGTTCATTATATAGCTCCTGGTTAAACCAAAAACCAAGTTAATGGGTTAGATCTACTTATTTTTTTAGTGTAATATATATTTAGTTCTTGGTACTATACTTTTACAGGCCTAGTTGGTTCTGTGTGGATTTATCCCACTAAAATCATATTTTTGCTATTGCGTATGGATTACGCATTACCATGTGTGATTCTCTTTGTTACTTTGGTTATCCAAGTTATCTTATCATTTGAACACCTTGAGTAGATATGGCTGGCTCAAGTAGTTACTGTAAACAAATAAAAAAAAGGAATTCTCACTTTCAAATAAATTCTATAAAATCTCCAAACATAAGGTTGTACTCCTTAAGATTTATTGAAAACTAAAAATCATCCCCTTTATTCATTTTCTTCATTTTTTTTTTGGTTATTTTGTAACTCGCTTACTTTTATTCAGTTCAATTATAAATGAACTACAGAAGTCTTGAGTAGTCTACCTCCCTTCGAATAGGAATCCCCTTGAAAGAAAAAAGAAGTAACTTGAAATTTAGAAGGAATTTTCTGGTGTGTGTATTGCTGTATTGCCTATTTAGATCACGAATTTTCCTCAACAGTTCTACTGCTATGCCTTAAAGCCTATGTATCTAATCTTGCTATGTAATCCTTGGAAATTAATGTGAAAGTATAGAAAACCTCAATATAGTCTTGAATGGTTCAACAAGTCAATTTTATGTGGTGTCTTAAGTGACATACTATTTAGTATCAAAGACATGAATAACACTTTGACTGAGTTTTACAATGTTAGCTGATGATGACATGATTCCTCAATAGTGGGAAATTGCGTTTATTATTGGGGGTTGGGGACCAAAAAGAGTTTAAGCCACCAGTTTCTTAAATCATGCTTTATGTTGTAGTAACCCTTCCTCTTGCCTGTTTAAAACATCATGTAAAGGCTTAAAATTAAATACTTGAATTTGTGATACTTGTATGATTGATACTCCGATTTTTTACCCTTTCCTTCATTGTACAAGGTTCTTGAAGGAAGATCTTATCGACTTCAACGCCCCTGGGTGGGTGTAGTGAATCGTTCACAGGCAGATATCAATAGAAATGCTGATATGATGGCTGCAAGGCACAAGGAGCGCGAGTACTTTGCTACCAGCCCTGACTACTCATATTTAGTTAGTAGAATGGGGTCTGAGTATCTTGCAAAAATGCTTTCTCAGGTATAATTCTCTGGGCCACTCTATTCTTTGATGAATTGATGGCAGTTATGTGTTGGTTTGATTTTGTATTCGCTGACAAATGATTTCTCTGTCTTATCAAAGCATTTGGAGTCAGTAATTAGGGCCCGTATCCCGAGTATAATTTCATTGATAAACAAAAATATTGATGAATTAGAAGCAGAATTGGATCGTCTTGGTCGACCTGTGGGTGTTGATGCTGGGGTGAGTAACTTTTCCAAAATTAATTTTCCATGATAGTAAAACGTATCTAGACAAACTTCTTCAGTAACTCAGACGTTATATTTCAGGCCCAGTTATACACTATCTTGGAACTTTGCCGTGCATTTGATAAGATATTCAAGGAGCATCTAGATGGAGGGTAATTCCCCTGCCTTCATACAAGTTTTGAATTAGTGACAATGTTCCTTTCTTTACTCTCCAGAATTTATAATTCAACTTTGTTTCATGTGCATTTTTTGCTGATTTGAAGGAATTATAAGTTATTGTTTTCACTATTTTTCTATAACTTCACGCTTGAAAGCTCTTCTTAAGCTTTAATAATTACCATCTTTTTATGCATATATGTGTGTGTTACCACTTGTTGTACTTGTTACTACACATTTTGCATGGATAATTATAATTCATCTCCCTGGAAATCTAGGTTCTCTGTGTTAATGGCTGATCCTTGATTTATCAAATTCTGTTTCAGATTTCAAATTTCTTTATACTCATATAATTATTTTAAGGTTCCTACATTCTTTTTAGGCGTCCTGGCGGTGATCGAATATATGGTGTTTTTGACCATCAGCTCCCTGCTGCTTTGAAAAAGCTGCCTTTTGATCGATATTTGTGTCTACCGAATGTTAAGAAGGTGGTCTCCGAGGCTGATGGTTACCAACCTCATCTCATAGCCCCTGAGCAAGGTTATCGGCGTTTGATTGATGGTGCTTTAAATTATTTCAGAGGCCCTGCTGAAGCTTCCGTTGATGCTGTAAGTGCTATCTGTTCTGCATTTCTATTTCATCAATTGTCTTTATCTATCTCCTGCTCATTGTCACAACTCTCAAACACAATTGGTTTGAGAAGCTGAGGAACATTAACTCAGATTTTTTTTAAGTTATTTTCTGAATATTTCTTTTGTACAGGTTCACTTGGTATTAAAGGAACTTGTAAGGAAATCAATTTCAGAAACTCAGGTGAGATTTGAGTTTATAATGTTGTAGCTTTTAGATTTTACTGGTTCTTTTTTTATGGGATTCTTGAACTTCTTTTCTTTCAATGTACAGGAACTTAAGCGCTTCCCTTCCTTGCAAGCTGAACTAGGTGCAGCTTGTTATGTGTCATTAGAGAGATTCCGTGATGAAAGTAAGAAGACAGTCATTAGGTTAGTGGACATGGAATCTGCATACTTGACTGTGGATTTCTTCCGCAAACTTCCTCAGGAAATGGAGGAGAAGAAAGGGGCAAATCCGGTAGCCCCAAATGTAGATCGATATAATGAGGGGCATTTTAGAAGAATAGCATCAAATGTTTCATCGTATATAAATATGATATCGGATACACTTAAAAACACCATCCCCAAGGCGGCTGTTCATTGTCAGGTCAGGGAAGCTAAACACTCATTGCTGAATCTCTTTTACACGCAAGTTGGCAAGAGAGAGGTAATCTTATGTTTTAAAAATTTTATGCATGCATTTCATGATTCTGTGCTGTAAGCTCCATTGTAGCTATGGATTGGATGAATTTTACACTCCTGCATGTGCACTTTTATCTATTTAAACAATTATTTACGTTTTAAATAGCATGGAGTACTTGTGCAGAAAAATCCAATAGGTAATGTTATTGCCCAAGTTAGCAGATAGCAATCTCCACTAATTCACTTATGAATTAAGTCCGAAATTCCCTGCAGTCGTAGCTCAGACCTGAGATAGACCTTATATACGAAGTATTAAAGTTTACCCGCCCAACATCTCATCTTATATTGGCTGAGTAGTACTTTCTGAGCTATCGGTTCGAGTTGGATGAATCTGAAATATTTGATTCCATTTGCTTTCAGGCTAAGCAGCTTGGACAGATGCTTGATGAAGATCCAACATTGATGGAGAGGAGACAAAAATGTGCCAAGAGGCTTGAATTATACAAGGCCGCAAGGGATGAGATTGAGTCCGTATCATGGGCTCGATGATAGTGTTCGCGTTTGTTCCATTTAAAATATATATATAAGTTTTGTATCATAGCCCCTACTATTTTTAGTATATGTCTGACTTGAGGTTTAAGCTAATTATTGCCTTTTGGTCTTTGGGAATTATTTTGCCTGCATCACTGGAGCAGGTTATTAGATCAATGTTCCGACGGCATGGCATAAACATGTTTGTCTTGTAAATGTCAGTCCAACAGAAGCATATGTGCAGTTGTTTTTTCTACTCGTAGTATTTTGTTGTGTTTTTTTTTTTTTTTTTTTGACAATATTGCTCACTTTGCTCCTTTGTATGTTGGTTGTACTGAAGAATTATTGGTCCATAGGTAGGAGCATAAAGTGAAGCATTTTGGAGCGACAAAGATACTTGATTAATTGTGAGCACACCATCAAAGCATCCCTCCTAGAGTAGCTGTTAATACGAATAACATAAACTTCTTTGGCCATGCAATGTTGATGGTGAGCAAGACTGGAACCTGGAATCATCATAATCGGGTAATAGAAGAGTTTTGGTTGTACAATAAAAAATGTTAAAATTAAAAATTTTATACTAAAAAGTAAAAACCTTGAGTGACAAGCTATACAATGTCCTATATAAAAAAAAAAGGAAAAAAAAAAAAGCTATACTATGTCCTTATTTTATCAGGTAATGCCCGTATTTAAATATAAATGGACAAATATACTCTTGCGTGTATTCCAAGTTTTTATTCTTTGGCCTCTAACTCAAACTTTCTCTCCTCCAACAAACCACCACCGACTGAGGGCAAGGTCATCGGACACATTAACAAAGTTAAAGTCGGTTTTGTTTTAAGTGGAGGCCAAACGTCTATTTTTTTTTTTTTTCCTAAACTTTAGGGGAGAAACGCCGATAGTTCTAGGCGTTTCTCCCCAAGAACTTCACTTTTTTTCTTTTTTTTTTTTGCGCTTTTTGTTTATATCATAACTTTTTATATTGAAATCGAATTAAGACAAATAAGATATCGTTAGAAAGCTTTGAAGGGAAATTTTTTTAGTAAGGACAAGAATGTGTCTTTGATTGAAATGATGGTGGTTTAATAATTTTTAGGGCAGTATTTAGCATTTCACTAAAATTCTAAAAATGTAAAATTACTCTTAAAAGAAAAAAAAAAATAGAGTACTACTCTAGCTCCGTTTCTTTTTAGTTGACACATTTCTTTAGTCATGTTTGTCAATGCACAACATCAACCATTTATATTTTTAAACATTGATATTTCTAAAATATATGTCGTTACGAATCTAACAACATTCCACATGATTATATTATAATAGTTAAAATTACCCTTTAATTGACCGTCTTACGATAAAATTAACATAAGCCACGTCTTACTTTCCTTATGCCTTGTGTTTCACCTTAACTTGGAATTTCTTCCCCTTGACTCTCTTCCTCTGGGTATCAGTTGAAGGTCTGTAACTCTGTACTCGATAAGTAACTAAATATACCCAGCTCTCAACTTTTGGCTTCCCCAAATTTACAAAAATGATTGGAGCTTCCAATATGCTGGAGTTATGGCGGATTCCTTCTAACAAATTATTGTTCGGAACCTCCAAATTTATCAAAGGTACAGTCTTTTGTTTCCTTTATGTTCAATTGAAAATTTCATCAAGTAGATAACTTTATCTACTGTATTATTTTGATTGATTAAGTTTTTTTTTTATTGGATTTTCAATTTAATCAATCTACTTTGTTCGAATTTCTGAGAAATTGTCAAATGTTTATGATTAAGCAGGTTCTAGACAATTACCCCAAAGAGCATTTTATCCTATAATGTGTTTATGCAAAGAGATACAGACCACTACTGCTGAAAAAATTATGGGTGCTAGTTATATTCCTGAAACCAAATTCAAAAAAGAAATCAAAGTGAAGGTAATTTCTTATTTTTTTAGTTTAAATGTTTCCTTGTTTGTGTTCTAAATATTGTTAAGTTTAATGTTCTATTTGAAAATTATTAGGTTAATGAAACCATGAAAATCGAAGGTATTGGTGCTTTTCAAAAGCTACCCATGGTAATGCCATCTATTGATATAATCCAATCTGCTATACGGAAATCTAAGAAGGTTTCAGCTACAAAGGGTAATTGGTTGTTTATGTGATTATGTTGATTTGCTTGGATATTTGTGTTTTATGTGAGATTAATGGCTTTTAATCTGATTTTGGGATTGGCAGGCATTGCTAATATTGCTAAGCGAGAGAGGAACCGCGGTGCTAAGCAACTTGACGCGCTGATGAAGGTAAAATATTCAAGTGTTATATAGTTTGTGTGTTTTAGTTAGTAGTTTTATCAAGTTGTAATTTACTAACAGTTTATCTTCTTTGTTTGTTTGTTTAGGAGTTGGCAGTTCCACTTAGAACTTATACAGAAAACTTCCCTAACAAAAATCATTTGCATCCTTATGAGCGTTCCCTTATTGAACTGACGCTTGGAGATGGGAATTATGAAGAGGTAAATACTAAGTTCTGATATTTACTCTAATATTTTTGTCACTCAGGGTCTTAGTATTACTTTTGTTGTTAGATGTGTCTATGAATCTTTAAAGTTGTTGAGAACGTGAATTCATTTGGGAGTCATCCTTGATTCTTGTACTATAATAATAATAATAGTGCAGTAAAGAACTAATTGCAAGAGGAGTATTGGATGCAGTTAGCTCAATCTATATCCGTAATTAAGAATTTCTAGGACTAATTGGTATTGACTCTAATTGACGATGTTCAAATTAATGATTTTGAGGCCCCCCTTTATTGTTCCTGAAAATTATGTAAAATCAGAAGAATAGTTTAATTTATGAAGGAGAGAACTTGTTCCTGAAAATTACAGGGATTGGATTGATGTTTCTGCAGGAGGAAGGTTCTTCAGAATTTTCTTCCCTATATCCGTTAGAGTAGAGTGTACCTGCCAAGTTCTTTTATGATGACTTTCCTCACATTTCTAAATTTCAGATGAACAGAGATTTGTAGGAGAATAGATAACATTTTCAATTGCGTAGGTTGCATTGGGGAATATAGATGTTTCACTGATACACTTGTGTCAGTATATCTATTATTGTTCATGAATTCAAGTCACTGAAATCTTCTATCAGGATAAAGCATAAAAGAGTCAAGGATAAGTGGATGGCCTTTCAAGATATCAATGAGAGTCTAGGAACTATATTGAGGAGTTCTGGTGATGTGCTTTTATGGAGGATCGTTTTCTTTGAGAAAGTCTACTGTGTACATTGGATGGGTACTGATGGAACAACATTATTTGTAGTTTCTTAATTCTGACATCTTAGGCAGTTGTAAGTGCACATCATCAATCTTTTTGTCTGTTGGGTGGCCTTCTAGTTATTGTGTTTGATTCTAAAGTAATTTCCTTATATCAGTGTAGAACTCCGCTTGTAATAATTTGGACTCGATGTTTGTAGTTTATTCTATAGCAAGCATTTATATGGCTTGTGGGTCCTTGATGTTCTGCAGGTTTTGTTGAAGGTAAACAATCTGCGAAAGAAGGTTACATCTGTTGGAAAGGAACATGCTTCTCTTTGTGCCAAGGTGGATTATTTATTAATTAGATCTTTGTCTTATTCATCATTGCCTTTCCTTATATTTTATTTATTTATTTATTTTTGTAAGAAATTATGAATAACTTTAAATGATACTGAAATTTGTGCATTGCAGTCGTTGACAAAGAAAGAGGCAGAGGAACGGTTGAACGAGGTAAATACTTGTGTTCCAAGTTTTAAACTACAGTATGTACTGTGTGCAACTGGTTGTGCTGTGAAAGGAATCACCTATTATGTTATGGCCATCACTGAACTTTCTGTCACCTATTATACCTTTTAGAAAAAATCATATCAGTTATCAAACTAATTTTGCCATATTTATTTGTCACTTAATAATCCTTTGCTATTGTTTATTTTTTAAAAAAATAAAAAATTATTGGTGTCACATATTCGAATCTAATAGTATCAAAATATGTACTACGTAGTTTCTTTATGTCATTTATTAAAAATCAGTAAAAATTTCTATCACTTAGTATACGGAGAAATCCCCCCCCCCCCAGGATGCTGATGTTGTTGAATAGCAAATTCCTCTTTAGTAGTGATGTTTCTGAAGTCGTTGCTAGATTTCTCAGTACATGGTTACATGCAGCTGTAGCGCAGTGTAACGATGACACCCAGTACTTGAAAAAATAAATTGTCATGCAAGCAAGTTTGTAAGTTGCTGTTTTTTGATTAATTTTAAATTTTGTAGGGTATAAAAAGAGTGGAAGAAACTTATTACCGTGAAAGAAAGGCTGTTGATGATTTGCTGGATATTGCCAAGGTATGAAACTATGATCCCTTGGTGATGAGGTGAATCACTTTGAGATATTGCATTTTGGGGGGAATTGGCATTGATTTCCATTTTTTCCATTCGTGTATACATGTTCTGGTTATTCATCTTTGGATCTTCCTAAGTGTTTTCTGTTAACAACTTCTCTGCATGCTTCTCTTGGCTTAAAAACGTAAATGTTGAGAAGACTATTTGACTATTGATCTGTCATCAGACTTGTGTTGGACCAATGGAGTTTTAAAAACTCTTGGTTGACAATTGATGATTTGATTAGTATATGTACCCCCTCTGAACTGTGAGTCTGACAATCTCACCTTGGAATCAATGGTTGGCTGGGAGGTCCATTAGGATGCATATACACATCTAGTTGGCAAATTTCCTGTTGTTATATTTTACCTTCACATTTTGATTTATATGTATGTTGTTGGGTGTATTATGAGTTTTCTATTCATTTTCTTTCAAAAATTTGCCTTCAAAAACAGAAATATGACTGCTCACTATGAGAGCCATGCAGGTCTGTTCATGCATTGGATTTATAATTATTACCAACCAATTTAAGCAAGTGCTTCTTCTATTAAATGTTGGACAAAATCTTCTACATTTTTCTCACATCCTTGCAAATCTGATTTATGTGCTTCTACCTACCTTTAATGTATGTCTGGATCCATGTGCATTGATGCTACTAAATGGATGTTGGCATCTCCCCTATGCTTCATGTTTCCTTGCAGACATTACGAGCTATGCCAGTGGTTGATCTGGAAACTCCAACACTGTCTCTTGTTGGAGCCCCTAATGTTGGAAAATCATCTTTAGTTCGTATTCTATCAACAGGAAAACCTGAGGTATTCAGAGTGCTTATATTGATCTTGATTAATGACTGCTCTTAGAATTACAATTTTGTGCTCCATTTTCTTCTTGTCCTTTCTGTTGCACTTAGTACTTGTTCTAAATTTTAAATTTAAGCAGAAGACTAATTGACTATTCCACTGGTGTTCAAAATGACTTGGGGTGTGCTGAGGCAACATAGGTTCTACAGCCTTGGCACAAGAAATTAGGAGTGCACTTCTTCAAAATGAGGCACACTTCCTAATGCCAAAAATATTTTGCCCCCTGTACGTATACATCCCACTGAAATAGACTATTAAACCACGTTATTGTTTAACACCTTGGTGCACCCTTTCTAAACCCTGCTCTTGAGTCCTGGAGCTCTGTTCTGTGTGAAGGAAAGCACTGACATCAAGTTTAAGAGGAAAATATGATTTGTGTAACCTAAAGTATAGACTAATGAGCTATCTGCATGTGCCAAATGTGTGGATAAGAGTGGCTAGTTACCTCGTGACTTGAACCAAAGATACAACTTACTTGTTTTGCTATTGTTTAGGTGTATTAGGAGCTGTTTGCTGTCTAACTCTACATTAGATGAAAGCTGGATGATCCAAGAAAACAGAAATTATCTTTTTAGTTATGGATATTTCCTACTCTTATTAAAAATAACTACGTACCCTAGCCCTGCTACTCATTTTCTGTGTCTGCTCTTCAAAGCTCTTTAGTATGTGTCTATGTGTAGATTGTGTGGTAGGTATTCTATTGCTGTTGGGTGAGACATGAAGATTTATGATTTTTAAGTTGTGTGGAAAATAACTATCCTTTCTCACTCTTTCTCCAGATTTGTAACTATCCATTCACAACCAGGGGAATTTTGATGGGTCATATTGTTGTGAACTATCAGCGTTTTCAGGTCTACACAAAAAAAAATGTATTTGTTGTATGTTAAATTGTCATTGAAAATATTGTTTCACTTTTTTTTTTTTTTTTTTGACAGGTTACAGACACTCCGGGTGTACTCAAGAGATTAGATGGTAAGTGAAGTTATGTTCTGCGTTCTCCCTATATTATAATTTCTGCTGAACTTTACATTGGAGTTTGTGGATGAAAATTGACAGGATATTTATGGTCTGTTAATGGAAGCCATGTGGTTTTATGAGAAGTTTATCTTTGAAATTAAGAAGGGTCCAAAACCATGTGTATGAGGATAAGCAAGGGCCAAGAACTAGAGACTAGGATGGCTTTTAGCAACAAATATGATTAGTATTGGCCTATTGGGCCTATTTAATTTGTTAAAATAGACTTGTCTGCCTATTTCTGATTGTTTATACTTTATTATTGTATTGTCTTAGATGATCTTCTTCTTAATTTAAAATAGCTTAGTTTCTTCCGAAGATATTGTAGACAACCTGTACAGACATAAAGACTGATTTTGGAAAGTATAAAAAGTAACCACCAGTATAAACATAGACTAGACCAATTTAGGTAAAAATATACCAGTATAGACTCAAACTTGATTGGGAAGGAATTAATCTAGACCAGTTATAGGTTCCTTGCCATGAAAATGAAAATTTAGGGCAATGTGGATACACTATGCGTTCAATCTTGTACGGAGTATTATTATTTTTATTTTATTTTACTAGCTAATTAACCAAGTGTTTTCCTGGAGCCTAAATTGTCTGTGGTAGAAGAGTAATTGCCTGGATGAATGTAAGTCTACTTGTCAGGGACCATTAAAAACCTAATATTCAAAGTACACCATTTCGATTGATTGTTTCAGAGCTTGCAAATATGTATCTTTACATTTCACACGGTGGACATCGGTACTTGGGGCCGTTGGGGGTGCTAAAATCATATGTTTTTTTTAAACTTCTCTTCAGTAATCTCATGATGTGCTATATTATTTGTTAGCTTTTGGCACTGTTCAAAATGATTGCCTTCCTTAAACAGCTCATATTGTGTCTGAAGGAATTTTTTTTTTTTTTTTCAATTGCTTCCATTTGCAAAATCTGAAGAGGAGAGGAACAATTTGGAGAAGCTGACTCTTGCAGTCCTCACACATTTGCCAACAGCAGTACTATATGTTCATGATTTAACAGGTGAATGTGGAACTTCAGCGTCAGACCAGGTATATTATTTAACTTAAGAAGTGACTTGCATTTAGTCTGAAGATAAGCTTAGATGGAAAGCATATAATGGTTCATCTATTAATTTACTTTGGATGTCCTCTTCTTTTCCAATTTTCTTCGATTCAGAGTTCAATTATGCCTTGGTGTATGTAGTGACTTATAGTCAGTTTTTGAAAAAGCCGGTTGCATCATAAACAAGTATAGTTTTCATGCTGACAAAATGGTCATTTCCCTATTGATTGCTTTAACCTTTTTTCCCCCCAACTATCAGCTCCCTATTTATCTTCAATGACATCAAGCATATAGTGTATGTCCTGGCATTCTACTGTAGGCTAGGCTCTATGCTCTAGGAAAGCCCAAGTATACGCGGCCACACTGCTATCCAGTCAACTAGAAGAGTGTAAAACATACATGATGATAGCAGTTAGTTAGTTCTATTACCAGTTAGTGATTGATTATTATTTACTTGATTTTGATGATTATGCAGTTCACAACGTACATGGAAATCAAGGAGAGATTCAGCAATCATCTTTGGATTGATGTTGTTTCCAAATGTGATATTTTGCCTGAGTCCCCTTCCTCCTTCATAACTGAAGACTTGGCTGCTGATAATTCGGATCTGGCAAGATATAGGTTATTTGGGCCTGAAGGAGCCATTCGTGTATCTGTAAAGAGTGGACTTGGTCTCGATGAGGTATATACAACCTTGTCCATGCTTAGGCTCTATATACAGTCAGGATCGAATATCAAGTCTGGTGGAAAATATAGAGATAATATGTTTAACCTTGCTCATTCCAGCTTTATCATTCATTAGGCTCCTGTCATTTCCTATGCTACTTTTCTATAATTCTTGTTGCATCTGATTGACAGATTCTTAGAGGCTTCTCATTTACTTTTTTACTTGCAGCTAAAGCAGAAGGTTCACAATATGCTCATCTCCCAATCAGCTAGGATCAAAAGCGAGATAATAGACCCAGAACGTGCTGCAACTACTTCATGAAAATTGTTCTATTTCATAGTCCCCTCTGCAGCATGTCTTATGATCCTGGTGTAGATTGAAGAAGCCAAGGTCACATAGTGCCCTCTGCAGAATTTGCTGCTCGGATCATCGTTTATAATCAAACTGTTATAATGGAAGAAAATCAGTTATTTCGCCTGTTTGGCACAAAAAGAAGCTCCTCTTTTTGGAATGTATCTTAAGTGGAGGATGATCCATTGATCTTGATCCCCCAACACACCCTCCCCGTAGTTTTTTCTTTGTTTTCTATCGGCCTTTGGAGAAAAGAAGGGGATTTTGCTTGCAATTGTTCTATAGTGATAAATTGTCATATAAAGGGTTGGTGAAAAAGTTGCCATTACTTTTATGCTGTAACATTGTACAGAATCAGGAATGTAGTTATATGAGTAATTGAATAATTTTTTCATAATAATATTGCATTTTTGTAGTGAATGATCCAGTTGTAAAAGCTAACCTAAGCTAACTTGTGTTGGGTTGCATAAGCAATAAGCAAAAAGGTAAGGGTGTGAAGACTAGTCCAAATCTCATGCTACGTGGAGCTAGTTGTGGGGAATGAATGTGGAACACGCACAAATGGGGCTTGCTTAGTCAATGATGGCTTGGGACTATTACGGACAAGGGCAACCAATTAGTAGTGTTTATTTTAACAAAGTTAAGAAGCGATACATTTCTTTATCGGTATTAATTAAAAATCATATTTTGTCGGTGCTCATTGATTTTTGTACGGATACTCAATGTCTAAATTGAATGCAAACTATTATGTATAGAGATTTTTCTCGTCCAGTTAAAATATGTAAATATAAATGTACGGAGTAATTTCGAAAGCTTTCAAATACTTCTTAATCTACTCCGTAATTTTATTTTTTCCACCTAAATTTCCAATATTACTTTACCCAAATTTTACAAAAAATACTCCCAAATAAATGAAGAACAAGCAAACCTCCATAAACCCAAAATCAAAGCCTAAGACAAACGTTTATTGTCTTCTCTAGTTCTCTGCAAACAACTTGCAGAAAACAAAATCAGAAAAACCCTTGAAAAAAATCCTGACTTTCTCTCTCCAACTTCATCATGGTCTACGTAACTTCGTGGGATGAATTCGTCGAGCGATCCGTCCAATTATTTCGCGCCGATCCTGAATCTGTAAGTCTTGTACACCATCATTCAATCTTAATCTTTTTCAATTTGTTCTCAATTTTTAGTTGTTGGAATTTTGTAAGAAATTGGGTTTGATTATGTTTCTCGTTTCAATGCAGACTCGTTATTCGATGAAATATCGACATTGTGATGGAAAATTGGTTCTCAAAGTTACTGATAATAAGGAGGTATTGCTCGATTTCTTCATGCCTTTTTTTTTTTTTTGGGAATTTGACTTTTATTTCTGTGTTAGATTTCGAATTACACCCTTTTACAGTAATACTGAACTTGCTGAATGGTAGTCTTCAGAATTTTCTGTTTTTTTTTTTTTTTTTTTTTTTTTTTTTTTTTTTTTTTTTGTTATACTACAATGATCATGCTCAAATACCCATCTGGATTTGAAGCTTAAAATGTGCCAATTGAGTGTAGATTAGGGCAAATGATGAAACTTAGGGTTTCTATTGTTAACCTGGTCCCAGTTTGGCTGTGTGAATGATAGAAGTGATGTCTTTGCCAAAATGTTATGGGTGGAAGAAATTTTTGATATGAAGCTTGTTTGAAAATTAGCAGATGATGGTTATATTTTAGTAGGATTGATCAGCAGATTGCATATGGTAGATTCTGTAAAAGTGTATGGTGATTTAGGGATTTCTATAATGTAGTGGTGAGGTGTTTTGGCAGTTTACTCTTTTAACTTTAAGTGTATATTCTCTACTGCACTATGCTACGAAGTAATTTGTGTTAAATAGCACATTGAAGTAGAGTAACTCAATTCTGCCTAACAATAACATCACCATGAACTCGTGAAGGGATATTGAGATCAAGCTATTAGTAGGTTGAGGATTTCTTTTGGGGTTATGTTGTAGTACTTTGTTGGATTATATCAAGTCTTGTCAAGGCTAATTACTTAAGGTGTTTTTTTTGAAGGGTGAAATTATCAGATATGTTGAAGTGAGAGATTAATTGGAAATGTTAAATTTGTATTATTTATAATCTTTTGAAGTGAGTCTGACCTATTTAGCATAACTGCTTCTTTCTCTGCAATGCATGGCTTGAGTAATAAGGGGTTGTGAAAAATATATGCTCCAGAAGTTGACATATGTTGCTGAATTTGATTTTTAATTATGCTGATTTACTTTACATCTGAAATTTGAGAGAAAATGTGGTTGTCTGCTGTTAACCGCCTTTATTGATTACTATTGATTAAAATAAAAAAAAATAATAAAAAGGGCTGGTTTAGGCCATTATCAATATGTTGACTATGGTATTATTTCTGTCATTTCTTTCTACTGTAGCCCTTGAAGCTTAATTGCTGTTATAATTGGCATGGTAGGGAAATGTTATTAGCTACTAGCTACACTTTTAGCATCGTATGTATGCATGCGTTTCACATGATCTCCTGGTAATTCAATTGGTTTTTTTTATGCATATGGTGAGACACTGAAACTTGTAGAGGTATTTTTGAAGTACACAGTGAAAGAAAGAGGGAGGGTATTTTCTGACTATTTTTAGTTTATGGATTCTTGTTATGAATCGTGAATGTAAACCTCATTTTCTAGTGTTTGTTCGTTTATCATGACTGTTTTAGTTTGTGGATCCTTGTTCTGAGCCTTGTCTTTGCTTTTGTGATCTCTTTACTAGTGCCTCAAGTTTAAGACTGACCAAGCACAGGATGCAAAGAAGATGGAGAAGCTTAACAATATATTTTTTGCTTTGATGGCTCGAGGTCCTGAAGGTACTAGTCATTTTCTGTTCTATTTCTAACTTCCAAGGGGCAGCAATCGCAGCATCCCCTGAAGATAACTGTGTATCTCTGATTCTTGAAATAATTGATAGAGGATGTATCTCTGATTATATTATTGATAGAGGATGTGCTTTGACTATACATGTAGTATTGACCTCCCCTCTCCCCAAACATGCGCGCACACACACACACTTTGCATGGATATTATATGTGTTGGATTGATAACTCAAGGGAGCAGTATTTAGAATACAGTAAAATGAAATTGTTGTAGACCAAAGATGTTGCTACTTGCTACGGTTAATGATTTTCTGACGATTTAGAATTGCTCTTTTTTTGTCACATTTTGCTGATAAGTTCCACTTCTGTATTCTGCAGTGGATATAACAGAAGTCACGGGGAAAGAACAGATGGAGGTTCAGCCATCAAAGAAAGGAAGGGGAAGAAAACAATGATGTGGAAGTTTTGATGTTTGGCTAGAAACTAGGAATTGTAGTTGATCACGGTACCTTACTCTTGCAGTACGAGAAATTTCCTGCAGATTTTTTTTTTTTTTTCATTGCTTTACAGATTTTGTCATGATGTCAATATTATTTGAACCAAAGGCAATGGATATTAGTAATTTTCACAAAGAATGACTCCTGGCAAGGTGACTTTCGCCTTGTAAGTTCATCTAAGATTGTTGTGTAAACCCCAGGCTAATATGGCTCGGAACAAGTCTATGACTTACAAGGAGCATTTACTCATTTTCTCAATATGAATATTTAGCCTATTTTTCCACTTGCCCTGCCGTTGATTTATGCATCAACTAGAATCATGTTACAGAAAAATGCGAAATCGTTTACTTAGAAGTTTGAGGATGGTCTGTGATGCTAAGCAGCTAAGCGAAGTAACTATAACAGTCAAGATTACTCCTTTAAATGCTCAATTCCACTAAGTTCATTCCTAAGTATATTGCCACTCTTCAATTGTAATGACTTGTTTAGAGAAGATTTTATTTTTTTACTCAAAAGGAAGATAGAATATATTGAAGAATTTGTCGACTTAACTTTTGGAGTAATGAGCAGAGAATTAACTGGACTCTGTAAGTGAGGGTAGAACGTAGACACAACACTTCTAAGCTATGTTACTCAGACTCGGATACCCATTTCCTAGTGTCAAGGGTCCGACATGGGTACCTGAGGTGAGATGAAAAGTCCGAGTAACATAGCTTCTAAGTGTAGTAACTCATCTGTAGCCCTGAAGATTGCCTCTGATGGGTTGATCATAATTGAAAATTATAAAATACCAATTAACTCAAGCAAGAAACCATCAAGCACATAATTTTGCTCTACATCATAACTAAAAAATTGAAATTATTTTAGTTTACAAATATGATCCCGTTTTCTTTTATGGTGTCCAAGACAATACCAAGCTTGCCCTCAATACGCTCATCTTTCCTAGGCTCATAGGCCAAAGCATATACATCGGCATCTTTTGATCGCTCAGCAATGAGCTTACCCACCACTCTACAGGCATTATTATCAATTAGAGATGGCAAGGTAGTTCTTAGATCCTTGGCATTAGTGGTGGCAACAGAAATCACTTTGCTGGTTCCACGGTGCATCACTTTGGCATGAATGAACCGCTTTGAAAAGTAAACATTCAGCAGAAAAGGTCTTAAATACATATCAGTTCGCTGTTTCCATGATTTCCTCCCGGTTTTCTTTGGTTCTCCCCGAGATCTTCTTGTCCATGCGGCTTGAACGACAAAGTCCTACATAAATAACTGAAATTCAGGTGGGGAAATGAAAGAGCAAACTAAACCTATTTTATGAGAAAAGAGCAAATATTTTTTCAAACAAAAATCCAAGGTCAACTGGCTTCATATTTTAGAATGAAGGATTGAAAGGCCATAACAGATGCAAGAGACATGGATTTTGTTGAGAACAGGCATAGATTAATACAAAAGAATATATCAGTCCCAAAAAAAACTGTTGGAACATGAAAGTATATCTCTCAGACAAAGTTGAGCTCAGTAACAATGATACACCTTGAGATTTGGCAGCAGAATCATATTTGAAAGATTAATGCAACCACAATAACACCATCTACTTCACGCATTAACTCTCATACATGATCCAGTTACTGCCTAACTATTAGTCAACTACATGGTACTCTCAAGGACATCAATAAAACCTTGACCAACTCCAACTACAGTTCACTCAATAAAAGTATGTACTCACTGTTGCCTTAATAGCTAGGTGAAAAGACTCTTTCTTTCACTAAGACAAGATTGTTTAAATTTCTGCTATCCCAGAATGCACACCAAATCGATCATTCTGATTGAATATCATAAAAGGCTGTCATCAAAATAAGATACTACGTATTACACTCACTGTTTCTCAACCAGACAAGCACAGTCATCTGACTGACGACTAGCACGGAAAATCCAATCAAAGTTTCTTGTATAATGCACAGAAATCCAAACGCTAGCCTCCTCCTAAGAGAATCATATAGCATATGCTTGGAAGGATGAAGCAATGTGATCTCATTTTGTATGTGTGACATGATGAATCCACTTAGACCAACACATTCTCAAGCATACTTCTACTCCGATCATACAAAAGGCCACATTAGATATTGTTGTTGTTAATGATTATTCCCATATCAAAAGCCATAGATGATAATCTGAGCCATACTAACTAAACTCAAATCTCAAAAAAAATCCCACATCAAAGTTAACTTTTGATACCAAATGTTAATCGTTGTCAATTATTTTGAAACAAGAGGAAAGGAACTAGGAAGCACTACATTAAAACACTACCACTACTCCACTAGAAAATGAAGAGCACAACAAATGAATAAACCATGTATATAATGGAACTCAAGAAAAGGCTAAACATACTACCTCCACCCAAAAATAGTTGACATTGTTCGTGTAAATTTAAACTAGCAATGTGGCAACTAAATCCAACTCGAAACTTCAACAGCACATACATACTAACATACTTAAAAGAGGAATATTAAAGCAAGAATAGTACCTGTTTGGGAAAGGAATTTGACAAATTAGACCTGGAATTGAGTGAGAGATTCAATTGGGGCATTGAAGAAGACCATGAAAGTGAATTGGGTTTGTTCATTCGAGGTCGAAACAAGTCTGATGATACCAGAAATGCACAAGACGATATGCTACAAGCCATCTTCTTTCAGATTTATATATTTCTGTAACTTCAAAAACATAATTTGCTTCGATTATTTCTACAAACTAAAACCCAATTGCAAAAATATGAATCCCAAATGAGTATTATCCAACAATATAATAGCTTCAATTTCAAAGCAATACAATACATTAATTCAATGCAAGAAAGCAAAATTGGGTATGAACTACAGTATTTGTTGAAAAGAGAAACATTAATTCATAAAAACATTGATTTATTCCTGTAATTTCAGCGCATAATTAGCTTGAGTATATTCTTTAAAAAATGAAACAAATTTGCAAAAGTTAAAATTCCCAAATGAGCAGAAAATTACCCAACTTTATAACAAATTCAATTGCAGAGCGCAGAGCAATAATAATAATTAATTCAAAGCAGGAAACTGCCACAAAATTCAATGAATAAAACGTAAAATTGGGAACAAATTGCAGTATTTGTTGATAACAGAAACATTATAACAGTAAAAGAAAAATGCAAAGAAAGAAATAGGAGGCAAAAGAAGAACAAACCAGAGAATTGGCAAGAAATTGCAAGGATTACTCAAATGGAGAGAAATGCCATTGTTAATGCTTCACTTTGATATGTTGAGCTTCCCGTCTGAAGATAAAAATTTAAAAAAAAAATGAAAAACCATAAAGCTTGATAAATGGGTTGGACCCATATCATTATTCGATTTGGCCCAATTCAATACTCCAATTTTATACTCGTATTGTTTTTTAATGGTAAGAATAACTACTAAACAGTAAACACACTAGTAATAGAGCTTCCCTCTCGATTTTAGGAGGTCCTAGGATTAATTCTCACCCTGTCCTTGTGGCTCTTTTTTATTTTTTTATTTTTTTTTAAGGGGAGATACATTTAGATTCTGATCTGTCTTTGAAATTTTATAAGAATCATACAATCGAAACGATATTCGTCCTTGCAATGATCTTATATTTAAGACTCTAAACCCAAAATATTTTAATATAACTTTTTTGTTGAAATTATTTTCAAAAAATAAATATTTTCATATCCTCCTCTCCTTGGAAAGGGATGGAATAGAGTACAATTTTTTTTTTCTTTAAAATTAGATTTATGTTCCTACATAATTTAACTTTATTTCATAATTTAAAGTACAAAGTAATTTAATATAAGCATTAATAAATACAAGTAGCTAGGAGTATTGAGTATATAGTAGTGGTTAATGGTTATGTGTTACTCCGTATGTCCTTTTGGGTACTCCCATGAAACAAATAATTTGTTACTTGTATTGTAAGAATGTTTTTACTTTTTTAAAAACATATCATACCTTAACATTTTAATTATCTACTAATATACATAATTTAAACCAATTGGATGTTAGTGTAGTAGTGATTGAGACAGACAAGACTCATGTTCAATCTCGCACAACAACAATCAGGGGAAGAGTGGAGCCTAACCACCCAGAACTGATCCCCGAATCCGAATTAGTCCCCTAAAAGTGAACCGGGTGGAACAAAAAAAAAATACAAAATTTAAAATATCACATAGACAACGTTTCACTTTAACTATTTACTATTGGCTCTTCTTTTTTTCAAAGATAACGACTACAAGATCAAATCTTCATGAGTCATTATAACTTTCTAGAAAAGAAAAAAATGGCCCTAAGAATTTTATTGTTAAACAAGTTAATACATCAACTTTATATTAGTGACACTACATACTCTATGTACTCATTACCTTTAATGAACCTTATTTTTAATGAAAAAGCAGTTATATAATTGTGTGACAAGCTGACTAGAAAGTCTCTAATAGAAGCCCCACATATGTCAAGAATAGCATTAGATTTTTTTTACAGTATTTTTTATTACTTTTTTAAAAAAAAAAAAAAAAAAAAAAAAAAAAAGAGTAATATGTCTGAAAAATTATAAACCGACATTTTATCTCTCCTATTATTTGTGTAAGTTTTGCTTTTGATGATTTATTTATTTGAAATTGTCCCATATCATAAATAATGATTAATTGACTGTGACCGTAAGTCCGTAAGGATTATTTCTTTACTCTCACATCATTATATCAACTTTCGTCAATTATTCAATAATCCGTCTATCAACTCCACTTAAATTATCCGGTCAAAAAAAAAAAATCCATTTAACTAAAGTAATAAAAAATTTAATGCGTGGAGTGAATAAAACAAAACGGAGAAAATATAAAATTTAGAGACGTACACGCCCCATGTATTGCATATTCTCTTTAAAAGTTTGACTAAGGTAGTGTATTGCTGTCTATGTAAATCAAATCATAATGACTCTTAATGTTCTAGAACACTTTTATTACCAGCAAGTCCAATTTTAATGTCATATGTCAAGCAATGATAAGATTTAGTACCAACTACTGGTATCATGTACTTCCTGGTGGGCTATATAATATGGTCTGATTCATACTCCATAATAAGCACCTTTGTATACAAATTAAACATCAAATAATCCTTAATTAGCTTCTTCAGTCCAATCTACTACAAGTACGTACTTCTCCTAAACTATCCATCTATCATCAGATCAGTTCAAACTTTCAACTAAAATCTACGTGAAAACTTTCAATATTCATAAAATTGAACTAAACAATCAATTTTTTTCAATGATTATTCCAATGTCAAATATTTTTACTACGTACAAAGATATATTTTTCATTTATAAATACATCTTACCAAACAACCACTTAAACAATACGGAGTAATACCGATGTTGTAAATACATTATTTAACAAGCAAAATGTGAGATATAAGAAAAAACCAATTAAATTAACAAAGGAATTGTCTTACATATATACATACATGTTGAATAATCAATTATAGCTGATTAAAAGGTCGTTGAAATTAAAAAAGATAAAATTATTCTTATCTTGATTCATTATTACTATAGCTACTTAGCTAGTAGAAAAGTCATACACACGAAACTAGTAAGCTGATCCCAAAATCAAGAGGATACCCCAATTTACTAGACAAATCTTCAACAAATAATAACATAGAAAAAATAATATTTCTCTTCTTTAATCTTTGTTCTTGATGAAGGTTAGGAATAACTTGATCCCTACAAATGGGGCACGTAGAATGAGACTTAAACCATGCATCTATACACTCAACATGGTAGCAATGCTTACATTTAGGCAGTACCCGTATTCGGTCGCCTCGAACCACCCCATCGAGGCACACCAAGCAAAATGGAGCATCCGTGCTTGGTTTGCCTCGATACGTGGTGGCCGGGAGGCGGCCCTTTTGCCAAAACAATCTCTTCAACAATGGAGAAATTACGACGATGGAGACGACGAAAATGACCGATTGAAAGATATCCATGGGAGATGTTTAGCCGCCTTCAAATCAAACTAAGCTTTGCTTTATTAGTACAATTATTTGATGGATGTGCGTAAACATATTTATATGGAGAAAGAGGGAGAAAAAAGATTGCGCATGTTTTGAAGGAAAGATTATTGGTTATTTGATATGCCAAGTCAAAGATATAGGTAAACTGCTCCAATGTAAGACAGAAAGTTAAAGTTTTGTAAATAGTACAACCAGTACAAATGTCTTCTTAGTGGAAAAAAATAATAATTTAGGCGTAGTTTGATCTCAAGTTCTGTATATTACTGCATGCGATTTTAATCAACGTAATTAAGCTAGAAGTAGATATAGACGCAAAAGTATGGTAATATATATATTAGCGTTGGTGTGAAAAGACGGATTTTGGATGGGTTTAATTTTAAAAATGCACAAGTTTTGTAGTTGGCTGATAATTTTATAAAAGTGAGATGGCTTCTTGGTAAAACTAAACAAAAATAAAAATTAGAAGTAATGCATGTGTAGGTGAAGGGATATATAACCTGTATTATTAGGATCATGCAACTTTAAAAATAAAATGAACACGTTAAGGTGATGGAAGGATAGACGAAGAATATGGACGAGGTTTATTGCCATTTATATAATCTTGGTTGTTGTGATCTAGTTAATTATTTACAAAAATACAAAATAATACAAGTTGTTGATTTCGTAAATGTTGTGTGAAGGATGAGTTACAAGTCTCTAGAAACTTTTAGTGGCTTTTGCTTCAATTCTTGCATCGCTTATTCATCATGAATCATGAAAAAAGAAAAATCACAAATGATGACATATAACAAATGTATTTCATCATGATGGTGTCATTGTTTTAATTTTTAAATTCATCTCATTGTTTATAGAGTATAAAAATCGATTTTGACTTTAGAGTTTATCAGCTTAAATTTTTAAAAGACCATTTATGTCGGGATTTCTCGTCGCTAATCCATTCTAGAAGGGGGCGGTCAGCCGGTCATAAAAGATTTTCCCCATCGTGATCCAGTCGTAAAAGGCAATTATGACGTATGCGACACAAACTCACAAATGTCATGTATTCAAACCTCATCCACCCTTCACGTACAAATATTTCACGGTGGTATGAGGGGCCTATGCCGCATTCACATTTCAAGTTCAAAAGACTCTCATGTGAAGGGACATACGAGAAATTAGATAGTGGATATATTGCAATGAGATATATATTAAGGTCACATAATTTATTATAGGATTTTATACAATATTAATTATACTATTTATATGGCCGCCTTGATGTGGGAGTGTGTGTGACTTCACAATTGTTCATTTTTCTTTACTTGTGATGTTGTGCATTTTTCTTTATATACTCGTGATTTTGTGCCTCATTGAACTTGTACCTTTTGCTTGAACATGGATGATTTGTTCTACCTTTAAGTTGAGATGAATTTAATTTTATCTCTTGCATGCAATTATGACTTTAATTACCTTGACAAAGAAAATTGTCTCAATTAGCAACATCATAATAACTTGAAAATCACCTACATTCCCCATATATATCTAACACAAGTACACAACTGGTGCACATAAAATTCAACTCTAAAGAAAATCACGCTAAAAATCAACTAAAAAAATTAAATAAATAACTTAAAAAAATTACTGCCACTTTGAATGACATATTTGACAATGTGAAAATCTAACCGGTACTCCATAATATTCTGTAATAATCAACTAGAACAAAGTAAATAAATAAAAGACTGATATACAAAAGCCATACATTGAAACAATTCTAAATTACCAACATTATAAGTTACATAATGACATCACCATTGATCAATATAGTATATCGTGTATGTGAGACTGAGAGTATGTAGTGCAAAAGTTATGTGAGTAACTTAAAAAGAAACCGATTAAGTAACATACCCAAATGGTCGAGTGATTCAATCACGACTAGATATGACAAAGCTAACCCGACCGACCCAATTTGAAACAGATTCAGAATAAACCAAATTCATATTTTTACTTGTATATATTGACATAATAATTCATCATGACTCAAATTTCTATTAGACTCAAAACACCCAAATTTACATTTCTATTCCCGAGTCTCAACACTAACTATCTTATAATCCGATATTCTAAACGACCCATTTGACACATCGGTAACCGTTAAGGGCGTTAACCTGATATAGCAGCTACGGTTGGCCGTTAGTCAATTACTCTTTGTTTCCACTTTCATCCAACACATCTCAAATTCTCAGCTAATTTATTACACTTCTCTTTAAATCACAATTGTACGATCTTACACACTACCAAGTCAAACCTTACAAGTCGGTCAACATCTCCTCCCATAAAACCACCCAACTCGCCGGAAAATCGCCGGATTCAACTCACCATGACCCGATTCGCCGCCATAAACACCACCTTTATCCACCTCTTCTTCCTCTTCACATCCACATTTTCCGGCGTAAATCCAACTTCCGTACTCCCTAACAACCGCCGTACACCTCTAGTATTTCCTCTCACTCTCTCTCCTCAAATTCCCGACGCTAAATTCCGTCGAAATCTTCAATCTAAACGTGTTCCTCCTAATGCTCATATGAATCTCTTCGATGATCTTCTCTCTAATGGGTTTGTATTAGTTGAACAGTTGATTTTTTATTTTTTCCCTAATTATTTGATTTTTGATTGATTAATGATTTTTTTTGGAATTTTGATTTTGATTTTTTAGGTATTATACGACGAGGCTTTACATCGGAACTCCGCCGCAGGAGTTTGCGTTGATTGTTGATACAGGGAGTACTGTTACGTATGTGCCGTGTTCAAATTGCGATCATTGTGGTCATCATCAGGTATTTTGCTGCGATTTTTTTTAATTATTTAATGTTAATTATTTTGTTGCGATCGTATAATTTTGTTATTTTTTTGCGGTGAATTGTGATTGCTGATTGTTGATCATAGTTAATTTATGAATGTGAGAAATTTAATTGGGTGAAACTCTGAAATGAATTAGGAATTGTGAATTCTGTGCACTCGTGGTTGAAATTTACTGTGATAGCGTAATTTGAACTAGTAATTTGACGTGCTGACTAGTACGATGTATATAAACGGCGAAGTAGGAAAGTGGCATGATCTTATGAATCTCCCCACATTTGTAGTTAAATATTTATAATGACTTTCTAAATGAATCGGTTTTTGGAATTGTACTTGCCTAAAGGTTCAAATTTTGATTGAAGTTAACCTAAAATTATTCCTTTCAATGATAATTTAGAAGAACGAAAAGCAGTAAGCTATGTCATAGTATGGTTGCCAAATCGAATTTGAATGAATTTTAGGAAATAGGATATTGGTGTATGCAATTACTTTGTTTAACGTTTTCAGAATGGAGACTTTGTTTAATGTTTTCAAGATGGAGACTTTTGTTCTGGTTTTTGTATGAAGTTAGGAACACACTCTTATGTTTTTATTGTTTTCTTTCTTTTGTCCATTTTTTCATGTATGAAATACTTACGGGTTGTTGCAATTCCCAAAGGTTTTTCCTTGGCATTCTTGTGCATGTTTCATTGCTTTCTGCATGACAACAAGATGATTTCTGGAAATCTGGCTTTGAAAAATAAAATATTATGGGTGTGTTGGATACTGCCACTTCTTTTTCTGCTTACTTCAATTTCCTGAGTACTATTGCTTCTTTTTCTTGCCCCATCCTAATTTTCTATCTGCAGGATCCAAAGTTCCAACCAGATCATTCAAACACCTATCATCCTTTAAAATGTAATCCTGATTGTACATGTGATGCTGAGAATGTTCTGTGTGCTTATGAGAGACGGTATGCTGAAATGAGTTCCAGCAGTGGCGTCCTTGGTGAAGATATTGTATCATTTGGCAATCAAAGCGAGCTTAAACCCCAGCGTGCTGTTTTTGGCTGTGAAACTTCAGAAACTGGTGACCTTTATAGTCAGCATGCTGATGGTATAATGGGTCTAGGTCGAGGTGAACTAAGCATTGTTGATCAACTTGTTGATAAAGGTGTAATCAGCGATTCCTTTTCACTTTGTTATGGCGGAATGGGTATAGGTGGTGGTGCTATGATCCTTGGTTCTATATCACCCCCCTCTGACATGGTCTTCAGCCATTCTGATCCCGACCGCAGGTATGAGTTGGAAGGATTATTTTTTCCATAAACTCTCCTTATTTTTCCTTAATAACATCTGACACATTTACCCTAGTTCCTGGATGGCAACAGTCCTTATTACAATATTGAGCTGAAGGAATTACATGTTGCGGGGAAGAAGCTGCCTATTGATCCAAAGGTTTTTGATGGAAAACATGGAACCGTTCTGGATAGTGGTACAACATATGCCTATTTACCAGAAAAAGCTTTCTTGGCTTTTATTCATGCTGTAAGACTTGGTTTCTAAAGGGCATCGCTGTTATTATCTTAGCATTTCTGATTCTAGATTTTGCTGAATGGACATAAATGATGAGGTTACAAAGTACTGTTTTATTTTTTAAAGCAATATGGAGTCAGTTGTATGAATTATGAACAGCTAAATAAAGGAACGGCATAAAGAGAGGAGTGTCCTTAATAGTTTATTTACTGTCAAAGTATCAATTGTGCAAAAGTAGATTTAGAATTACACTTGGAATTGAATACAGATGTTCTACATAGAAGTGATGCTTAGCCCTTGGCATTAATTTGGCATCTCTATTCCAAAAAGAGTGATTATTTTTGTGCCATATTGTATCTATCCTTTCTGTTCCATATCTAGCTCTAGTAATGTTATCTAGCCAAATTACATGTCAGATAACTATTATGTATTTTGTTGATGCAGTTAACCAATGAGCTCCATGGACTTAAGCAAATCCGTGGTCCTGACCCCAATTATAATGATGTCTGTTTTTCTGGTGCTGGAAGGTAGTGTTTACTTTCATTAGACTGACTTCGCAGCTGTTATATATCCTACATTTTAACTTTCTGGTGTATCTTTGTTCTATCAGCGAGTCTTCAGAACTTTCAAAGGTGTTCCCTACAGTTGATATGGTCTTTGAAAATGGTCAAAAGTATTCAATGTCACCAGAAAACTATTTATTTAAGGTGATCTTATCGCCTTTTTTTTCTTCTTCTTTAAAGCTAATAATGAATTAACTTATTGCAATCAATTTCTTCAATACTAATCCGTTGATTAGGTATGACATAGTTGGGACTCTGGTCTAGATTAGCCTACGTCTCTTTCTTACAATAACTTCATTCCTTGTTCAGCATTCAAAGGTGCGTGGTGCATATTGTCTTGGAGTTTTTCAGAATGGAAAAGATCCCACTACACTTTTAGGAGGTATAATGTGCTGTTGTAGACATTGTAGTAGCTTTTGTTTCTTTGTGTGTAAGCAATGTTGTCATTTATCTCCACTTAAATACAGGAATCATTGTCCGTAATACTCTTGTAACGTATGATCGCAATAGCTTGAAAGTTGGATTTTGGAAAACGAACTGTTCTGAATTATGGGAAAATCTCCGTGTAAATGACACTTTACTAACCCCTGCACCCACACCTTCAAGTGGAGAGGTTTCAGCTCCAGGAAGATCTCCAGCATCAGCACCTGATGGAGTACCTAGCTATGTTATTCCAGGTAGAGAATTTTTATAGCATGAAAAATGCTTCTTCGCATGTCAGTACATTTTTCTTTTGATTAGAGAAGCATGTTGGAGCAGTAGCAGTCTGAAAAGTCACGCAAAGGTACATAAGGGGTAAGGGTACTCCATAATTAGTTTCTAGATGGTGTGTGCCTGGGTGGCTTTCCTGCACCAACCAGGTTTAAGCCCACCTGATGCAAATGGGGTTCCCTGGCTCCCTTCCAAGAATTTAGGGTTCACTAATCTGATAGAAATAATTTTTTTTTTTTACACATATTATTGACTTTCATTGACTTTTTTAATTTCAGAAATTATAAAAGTGGGATTCATAACATTTGCTATGTCTTTGAGCATCAAAGAGTCGGACTTGAAGCCTCATGTATCAGAGCTGTTTGGTTTCATCGCTCGAGATTTGGAAGTCAATATATCACAGGTAAGCTGAGTGTAAAGTTGATTTTATGATTACAATGCCTTTGAAGGAGCTAAGATGTGTTCATATTTTTGACAATCACACTTTCCCTCACTCTAGAATGTATTAAAATATTTAAAAGAACATTTTTTTGCATTATTGTGAATTCTTATTAGTACTCTAAAAAGATAGTCTTGCTTCCCTCCATGTAAGCACAGCTTTAATTTGTGCTCTCATAATGTGTGTACAAGAATACATTTTTATAATTTAAATTACTTCTCTTTGAGTTTTGTCAACTTTATCATTCAGCTAAATAGTGTCTTTGTTGGTTTCTCCAGGTTCATTTACAAAATTTGGCTTCATCCACTAATGGTTCCCTGATAAAATGGGCCATCTATCCTGAAGGATCTTCCAAGTATATCTCAAACACAACTGCAATGGTAGGTTTTCCTTGATGAAATTGTTTAAATGTGAATGAAGCTGGAAATTAGATTTCATAATTAACTTGATTGTTATTTGTGCAGCATATAATTGCTCATTTAGCGAAAAATGATGTCCAACTTCCAGAAACCTTTGGCAGTTATAACTTGGTTGATTGGAAGGTTGAGCCACCTATGAAACGGTAAAAATCATTCTTTCAATTTCTAGAACATCAATTGCTGGTTTATATATAGTATGTCCAGCCCTCTATGTTCTTCGCTAATTAGTGGACCCAGTGGTATGCATGTATGCATTTCCGCTCAGACTATCCTGTTTTGTGTGACTTAACTAGTTCAAGTCATCCTTCTGTGCATCTATTTGACAGTTTATGGAACCAGTGAACCTTTAAATATCTGCACTTGAAACAATCTTGTTTTTGACTAATTGTGGGTGATGATTATGATCGTCATGAAAATTCTCTGTTTTAAGTTTCTGTTGAATATTGAAGCACACTCTTTCACCTTGTTGATCTAGCTGGTTAGTTAAGTGCAAATGCATCAGAAAATACTGTCTTATTCTCTAGGCTTCAAATTGTTGGCTCCTGGGCTCACTCAGTCTCCAATTTGAGTAGTAATATAGTCAAAGCATTTAGTTTTTGCAATAAGAGTAAAACTGTTGATGCATTTTCACCGGGTTTATTCTTTTTCCTAAGTTGTATCTGTAAAAAAAAATTCTGCTCGCCCTAATTTGATATTTCTGGAATGATGCAGGAATTGGTGGCAACAACATTACTTAATAATGGTTATGGCAGTTATTCTTACATTAATGTCGGGCTTATTTGTTTATGGGATTTGGTTCATTTGGAAATGGAGGCAGCAAACAATTGCACAATATAAGTCTGTTGACAGTGATGCTACAATTCCCGAGCAAGAACTCCAGCCATTGAGATTGTGATCAACTAATGAGTTATTCTCTCATTTTTATACTTCCAAGATTTTGTTTGTATCATTTTTGTTATTTAGGAACAAGCTAAAAGAACTACACGAAGTACAAGTCTTCTTTTGAGCCAAATTTTCGAAAGAAATTTCCTTGATAAAGAAGTATAGCCTATAGAAGTATAGACTATGCCAATCTTAATTTTGTAGATAAAATTCTTAATTTCCGATGAAATGTTTAATTCTATAGATTGCAGAATTACTTTTCTGCCTCTTTTTGAAATTTTTTTACTGTAATTTTTTTGTCCTCCATGTATGGTGAGCTGCTTTTGGTCAGCTAATTAATTTTATGTTGAACTGCATTTGGATTTTGAAATTTAATGGATTATTATACCATTTATAGAGGGGGTAAAGGCTACACATACAATTGTTGTATGTGGTTCCTACATACAACTCCTATTTGTCATGTTTCTATTGGCTAAAATAATAGGCACAAATTCCATTAAATTCAATTTATATTTGACTCCTAATTTTCTTCCATTTTTTGTTGATGTATCAAATTTCTAATGGTATGTGTAGGGTTAGTTCTCTTTATTCTTATTATTTGGTACATATCTTTGTTACAAATAGACCAAATCGTAGCAAACTAGAAAGTTTTAAATTAGCCTATACATGACTAGATAAAATTACAGAGATCACTCCGTAATCTGTATATGACTTGAAAGGTATTGGCCAAATCAGGCCTTATATACGAAAGACCAAAATACAATACATTAAACTCTTAATAAGGTGAAGATAACATAGCTTAAAGGTTGCCATGATTCCCAAATCTACTCCTATTATTTAGCATTTACTTTTTGAACTACAACCCTCAATTATTGAACCTCTCATATAAGCTACTCAAATTTATTCAGCTTTTTAAACCTTTAAAAAATTACTATGTACTTGACTTATCTAATGATGTAGACGAGATTCAATCTCATGTCATATACAGAGTATCAAGGCTTTACAACCAAATAAGCTACAATAATTAACATCAACTTTGACAACTCTGTATCGTGTTACATCGTATTTGTGTAAGATTAACCATGGAGTCCATAAACATAAGACGTGTTATTGATGTTTGAGGTTAACTATAGAGTCCATAAACATAAGACGTGTAACGTCTTTTTGTGTTTACGACACACTCTATAGGGAGGGACAAAATTGGTATTTTCTTACCCACGCTCGTGGTGGGTGCATCTCAGGGAGATCACAAGGATGGGGGGATAATTAGACTCCATCTTCCAAAACCCAAGTCAAGTAATTCCCAATTGAAACAAAACCCTTGTTCTTGTACATCTCAGTTCATCAGAGGAGAGAGAAAAATACCCAGAAAAATGGCGATGATTGGAGCTCTGAAAAACGCAATTTTAGGGCACATTCGAATCCCTGTTTCTCAAACTGCAATTTCTGTTGCTGGATCCAACAAATTGCAGAGCTTTCCTAACTTAATTAGCCGTGCATTTTCATCGCACGATGACCATCTTACCAAAGATGAAGTCACTCAAAGAGTTCTCTCCGTCATCAAAGACTTCCCCAAAGTCGATCCTTCTAAGGTCCCCTCTCTTTCTCTCTCCTGGAATTAGGGCTTACTTATTTGGATTTGTCATTTTTTTTTCTCTGGTATTTGATTTATAATGTGATTGTTTTTCTTAATTTTGAATTTGGGATTGTTGGGTTTTCTATTTTTTTAAAAAAAAATTGGGGTCGATGTATTTATAAAAAAAAAAAAGAAAAAAAGTGAGAGTGTTGGAAGTGTAGATCAGTAGTTTGAAGATTTTTGTAGGCATTGGACTAATTTGTGATGAAAGAACGAATGCTTGAGATGTTGGGGTTGTTTATTTTGATGTTTCAGCTTCTGTAGGTTTTGAAAGAATCAATCTTTTGGTGAAGAACGGTGAAATGCAAAGTGAGGTGTAATTGAATATATTGTTTCTTGGCTTTTGGTGGTGGTTGTCCTTTGTGATAGCTTAGATTTTGTAATTTGGAGCTGTCTTGAAGAAAACCATGTTAAGGTTATGGGGGTAATGTAAAGATTGCACATTTCGGAGGAAATCCGTAGCTTGCAGTTATAGTAAGGAGAAATGTGTGTCAGTCAAATTAATTTTGGAGAGGTTAAATAAGATTGGAATGGATAAGCTAGGACTATAATGGTGTATGGAAGCTCAGTTATTTTGTATGTGGTTTAGAATGGATATGGTGATAGTTGCTTTCTGTGGAATGGAATTTAGATTTTGCATTAATTGATAAGTGATGAATAGTCCTAAAAGATGGTTGTGAATCTTTGTTGTAGTTGAGTTATGATAGGGGTTTTCTTCTACACTGTTGTTCATTTTTAATGTTGATGAACTCAATGGAGGCTATATGGGTTTTTAAAGTATATTGGAAGGTTTATGTTGATGTAATATCTTTTATTGGTAAGGAGGCTTATGTGCTAAGGTATCGGAACATGTTTGGGTTTATATACTTTGGGATAGTTCTTGTTAGGTTTTGTGGGGGTTTGTGTAAATGATATGCAGGACAGTTATAATCATGACCATATGACTATAGCAAAGTTATTATCATGATCAAGGTCCCTCATTCCTGTAATGCCAGGTCCAAACTCTTACTTTTATGTCCGGTGGAGTCAAGTCCCTGACAAACTAAGAAGTTGCATTGCAGAGGACTTTGTTATCTACTATTTCTTTTGTAGCCTTCCTTAATCCTCCTTACCGTGTGTTATCTTATTTTCTGAGGTAGATTGAAGATGCCCCTATTCACTCTCCTCCCTAGAGGCCTAGATTGTTTATAGGAAATTTGCACATGATATCTATTTGTTTGTCTTTGGTTGCATCTTTCATTTCCAATTTCTTGCTAAGAAAATTGATGAAATATTCTCAGAAAGAAAATGATTTAGAAAAGGGTATGTTGAAATAGCAAGATCTGTTTCTTAAGATATTTTTCAATATGATATAGGTAATATTGTGTTGTAACCCATATGAGACTTTGTACTACTGCTTAAGGATGATATTTGAAACTCCTAGCTTGACTATACAGTGTAGGATGTAAGGTGTGGATAATTTGATGTTTGAAGAGGCTTTTTTAAATTTTAAAGAGATAATCTCCAAGGATTCCAACATCAGCTATAAAAATAGGCTGTAAGAAGCAAGCCTGTTAATCACATGATTTGTGGTTGTATTATGATGAGGAATCACTTCCTACTTTTTTAGGCTCCTAGTTCACAATATGATGATATTGTGACCTTGACATGTGTGTAATTCATTCTGTAAAGAGGAACTTGCAGCAATTCTGAAAATTTAGGACAGAGATCATCTAAATTTGGACAGCTTTCAGAAATATTATTAATTTCCTTTTTAAATGATCTCTGTCCTAAATTTTTAGTCATGACCCATAACCTGCTTCCGGAAGTTAGCAATTGGCAACAATATTTATTGTAACTTCTTTCCAAATTCATTTCTTTTTTCCTTAATTCTTCACTTCCCTCATCCCTGTCACTAAAATAGTTATAAGATACTGGAAATATGGCTCGTAGTCCTAGGTTGCTACACTTAATGACTTTCCTCAATCATTTTCAACCAGAAGCCATCTACTACCATAAGGAGAAATCAACCATGCTCTGCTGCATGTCAATTTGGATAAAAGGGGAGAATTTTCATTCCCGGAGAGTTTTGAGGTCAAGTTTTTTGTTGTTTTGTGATTGACCAATAATTAATATGTTTATTTCTGTTATATATTAAAATGGTTGGAAAATATGTGTTAGATACTGTTGATTGGTTACAGATACTTGCTTAGCTCTCTGGTCACTCCCTCTCTTTGTATGCTAATCTACATAATGTCGATTAGCATTTTGTTTTTCCTGTTTTCATCTCTCTCTCCTCATTGGGGTAGCTAAAGGTTGGACACTTATCTTATTTTTTATCCGCATTTAGCTTCGAGCCTTGTAGTGTACTTTTTTGTAATGAGGTGTTGAGAGAGAGAGAGCAAGAAATTTTGGGAAAAGAGATTAATATGAGGAGAGTCTAGATGATCGCCCTAGAAAATTTTGACAAATACTTGGTACAAACATCATAGGTTGGTCAAGTATCACAGCTGTATGAAGGACTAGAAGGCAATACTACTATATGTTGTCTACACAAAATGGCGTGTATACCTTTGTTATGTTTTGATCTCAAGAGGTAGAAAGATGCAACTCATCCATTTGGATGAGTAGCAAATCAGCAATTAAATGCCGTATGATGAGATCAATTAGGATTCAAAGGAAGTACTACTGAGGTGAATATCTAATAGTTAGCAAAAACCGCAATAGGCCCACAGTAACATAGTATAAATCCTGTCTAAGCATCAGACGGTTCCTTATGACAATTCAAGTTAGCCGACTCCAAATGATTTTGGTACTAAGGCTTTGTTGTTGTTGTATATGGTGCTGAGTATGAAAGTGTTATTTTTACGAGATGGCTTGCCTCTACGGTGATTTCCTTACCAGGCAACTAGTGAAGCAACTTTTGGTTTAAGATTTGAAGTACCTTCTACGTCCCCCCAACTGATGCTGATGTTCTACCAAAAAAAAAATAAAAAAATAAACTGATGCTGATGGTCTTGATAGATTCCCCCACTTAAAGATGCAATTATTCCCTTGATGAACTAAAAGAACATGTGATCCATGATGTTCCAAAACAAAAGTGTGCTGTTGGCTCTTTATTTACTTATCCATTCTTCAAATCTAGTGCATCTTCAGGCTTCACTTTGGCAACAGAACTATTATTGGTTGGATTGGGTTAGAAAATGATGTTTTGTAGTCTTTTCAAGCTTGATGAGCTCAACAGCCTCAACTATCTGTTTTGATTAACCAATTGGGATAGATCTCGTCTGAAAGATTGCTGTAAATTTGCTCCTTGGTTTGAGTGTTACTTGATTATGAATTTCAATATTAGGCTATTCCTTTTGGTGAGAATGTGAGGATGGAGCTCTAAAAAGAACTATGTTAAACTTAAGAAAGCAGTTGCAATGGTTTTCAGTGACAAACTGGAGTAGCAATTGAATAGTCTAATTGTTTTTTTATTTGCCAGCTGATTTTGATCTTCTTTGTTGCAATTGCTTTGCAGGTCACACCTGATGTACATTTCCAGAACGATTTAGGTTTAGATAGCCTGGACAACGTAGAGCTTGTGATGGCCCTAGAAGAGGAATTCAAGCTGGAGATTCCCGATTTGGAGGCAGATAAACTTGACTCAACTAAGCTTGCCATTGAATATATTCACAATCACCCAATGGCTAGCTGATCCAAGCAAGAAAATTCGTCAATTTTGTTGTGGGAAACCATGCATTTGTCAAGCCTTTTGTTTAAATTTGTCAACTGATAATCACAAAATGATCTCCGTGGTTGGGCAATAAGTAAAAGATTGATAGGACTTGTTTTCGACCATTTGACTTGCTCTTTCTGTTGAAACATTTTCGATCACCTGATGGTTTATCCATGTCCGACATGGTATCCATTTCTATCAGTCTTTGTATTTGGTGTTGCACAATATTTACTTTCATATGCAATCCATAATACAAGATCAATTGTTTGATTTCGTGTATCACAACTTTTATCTTTCATGCACTATTGCACATGAACTAGTCTAGTGTTTGTGTCGCATGCTAATAGAGTAACAGCACATCCCCTAATAGAGTAACAGCACATCCCTTCCTGGAAAATGTTTGCAGATAATAGTCCAGAGTTATTACCAACGTAGTACTTTAGTAAAAACATTTTTACATAAAACTAATAATTTAAGAACTCGTGTACAAAACGTTATACACAATTACAGCAGAATCGCCTTTCTTGATCATCTTTTCAAGTTCCCTAACATTCTCTTACAGCACTGTCATGTTTGAGTTGGTGGATTCTAACAACTTCTTTGCAGTATCAAGAGCAGTAAACAGCTAAGAGAAGAAGAGGGGAGAGAAGCAAAGAAGAAACATATAACTAGTCAGATATAGAGTTGTCAAATCGGGTAAACGGGTAGGGTTTGGGTCAGGTAAAAGTGGGTCAGGTCAACTCGGGTCGAGTCAATTTAGATTAATTCCATGACCTATGCGGGTCGGGTTTGGATTGGGTCATGTTTGAGTCGGGTCACGTCGGGTCATACTTCTTATCGGATTTGGGTCGGGTTACATTCGGGTCGGGTGAACAATAGGTCGGGTTTAATTCGGGTTTTCACGGGTTAAAATGGGTTAGGGTAATTCTTGGATTCGATTCGGGTTCGGTTCAAGTCAATAATTTGCGGGTTAGAATCAGGTCGGGGTCATTCTCGGGTTTGAGTTGGTTCGATTCAAGTCAATAATTTGCGGGTTATAATCAAGCTGGGTCATTTTCAAGTCGGGTCATTCTCGGGTACAAGTCGGGTTTGGTTCAAGTCAATAATTTGCGGGTTATAATCATGTTGGGTCATTTCCAAGTCGGGTCATCCTCGGAGTCAAGTCGGGTTATATTCAAGTCAATAATTTGCAGGTTACAATCAGGTCGGGTCATTTCCAAGTCAGGTCATATTCGGGTTCAACTAACTATAAATAGATAATTATCATTTTTATCAAGCTAATTATTTCCTTTGACTATAATATATATAGCAATATACTAGGGAACTATAGTCTATAATTTAGGAAGATAATTATCTATTTTGACCATACAACAAATATATACTATATTTAACTCTTAAATTTGAGAATGATGCTCCTTTCTTTTGCTGGCCCGGACCGACTTGGTCTCCCAAGCCAAAATGTTTTGATCAACAATAATAAGGTGATCTCAATTGCATTTAAAGTGATTTGAAATCGGGTTAGGAACAATTAGGGTTGAATTTAGGTCAGGTCAATAACAAGTCGCGTTAATTTGAGTCGGGTTAGCAACAAATCGAGTTGAATTTTTGGATTAGGTAAGTAAAAGGTATGGTAAAATTCGGTTCGGGTCAATAACAAGTCGTGTTGAATTTGGGTCAGGTCAATAACAAGTCGGGTTGATTTCGGGTCAGGTTTGTAATAGGTTGGGTTAAATTCGGGCCGAGTTTGGAGCAGGTCGGGTTGAATTCAGGTCAAGTTAGTAAAAATTCAGGTTAAATTCGGGTTTTGACATGTTAAAACGGGTTTGGGTCAATTTCGGTTCAAGTCAGGTTCAGTGCAAGTTAATTAAATTAGCCGTTGTAAACCAGTAAATCGGTGCAAGTTGTAAACCAGTCAATTGGCCGTTAAAAAGCAAATTGAATGGTTCCACACACCCAATTGGACTCTCGGAGGGTATTAGGGACCATGGTAAACATTTTGGCAATTTTTATTTGTATGCGAAAAAAGTCAAAAAATTCCAAAAAAGAAGGCTAATATCCACGCTTTTTGAGAAATTTTGAAGGTTTCGCGGCCGGTGTCGAAAAGTCTTGAAATTCAATGGGATACAACTCGGGGTCATATAATGCCATTGGGGACCATATATAATCATTATTTGTTGTCATAAATGTTCGTGGTAGGCTTGAATTAATGAAATCGGTGCAAGTTGTAAACCGATAAATTGGTCGTTTAAAGGCAAATTGGTTGGTTCCACCCACCCAATTGGACCCCCGGAGGGTATTAAGGACCATGGTAAACATTTCGGCAATATTTATTTCCGAGCGAAAAAAAATCAAAAAATTTCAAAATTCAAGGCTAATATCTATGCTTTTTGAGAAATTTTGGAGGTTTCGGGGCCCAGTGTAGAAAAGTATTAATATTTAAGGGGATACATCTCGTAGTCATATAATGTCGTTTGTAACCATATATGATCATTATATGTTGTCATAAATGTTCGTAGTAGGTTTGAGTTACTGAAATTCGTGCAAGTTGTAAACCGGTAATTAAATTGGCCATTTAAAGGCAAATTGGATGGTTCCACCAACCCGATTGGACTCCCGGAGGGTATTAGGGACCATGGTAAACATTTCGCCAAATTTTATTTCCGGGCGAAAAAAATTAAAAAAATTCCAAAAATTGAAAACTAATATCCACGCTTTTTGAGAAATTTTGGAGGTTTCGGGGCCCGGTGTCGAAAAGTCTTGAAATTTAGAGGATACATCTCATGGTCATATAATTCTATTTGGAACCATATATGATCATTATTTTTTGTCATAAATGTCTGTGGTAGGCTTGAGTTAATGAAATCGGTGCAAGTTGGTCATTTAAAGGCAAATTGGATAGTTCCACCCATCCAATGGGACTCCTGGACGGTATTAGAGACCATGGTAAAAATTTCGACAATATTTATTTCCTGGCGAAAAAAAGTCAAAAATTTCAAAATTGAAAGCTAAGATCTATGATTTTTGAGAAATTTTAAAGGATTCGGGGCTCGGTGTTGAAAAGTCTTGAAATTCTAGGAGATATATCTCGGGGTCATTTAATGTCGTTTGGAACCAGATATGATCATCATTTGTTGTCAAAAATGTTTGTGGTAGGCTTGATTTAATCAAATCGGTGCAATTTATAAACCGGTAAATAGGTCATTTAATGGCAAATAGGATAGTTTCGTGGTTCAACCCACACAATTGGACTCACGTAGGGTAATAGGGACCATGGTAATCATTTTGGCAATTATTAAATCCGGGCGAATAAAAGTCTAAAAATTCCAAAATTAAAGGCTAATATCAATGATGTGTCCAATTTATATAGTGTTTTAACCTCGTCCCTTGGTCATAATTAGTAGTGTTTTTGACTCTTTAGAGTCACTTTTATTACTAATTGGTATTTTCTAGTGTTTTTGTAGTTTTGCTTGAGTTTTGTAGGAAATTGCACATTTGGAGCGTTTTTCGGGTTTTTCATGAAGCATCTCCGAGCATTAGGAGGACACGATCATCTTTGAAGCCCAGGACCGGTTAGAGCCGGTGATTAAGGGCTCGGTATGTGATACCGGGGCATTTGGACCGAGTTTTCAAGACCCGAAGAGGAAATCCGGATTGGGCCAAAGAATGAAGCCCAATCGAAGTCCAAGCCTCGAGGAAGAGACCGGGCCCGATCGGGCAAGCTTCTGCTCGATCGGGAAAGTGCGCAGAAGAGAGCACCAGCAAGAAGGCGCGCCCGATCGGGTGAGCATTAGCTCGATCAGGCGCGGCTGCCCAGGAAGATCGTGAAGAAAAAGGCGGGCCCGATCGGGCGGCCCTTCGCCTGATCGAGCGCGTGTTTTTGGAGCTGAGATTTTAGTTTTCAATTAGGATTTGTTTTAGGGATGTTTAAGTACGATTTTTGTACGTAATTTTGATGACCTTCTCTTTTAGACTTTCTCTCTCTAGACTTCTCTCAACTTTTACTCTTGTTCTTAACTCAGCTTTGTAGTTCCGTCATTTTCGGTAACGATTTCTTCTTTATTAATTTCAGCAATTTTATTTCTTTATTCTATTATGTCTTCTTTTATTGCTTTGATTAGTTTAGATTAAATTATGCATGAGTAGATTTCTTTCTAGGGTTTATGGGGATCCATAAATAACATGAAGGGGTAGTTTATTGTTGTTAATTGTCAATGCTAGATTAATTTCCTATCGATTGATTTAATGCTCTGTGACTAGATTTGCGCAGATCTTTTATGCATGATTTTGACAATATTGATTTGAGATTCGAGAGATGAGAATTGATGTTTAGGTCTTGTTTCAATAGGCAGGTTAATTTATAAATGGTTAAGTCGAGATTCGAGAGATGAGATTTAATACTGGTAAATTAATTGTGTGATTATAATACGTAGCGAAAGCCCTTTATAATCTGATTAATTATGCATTGATGATTGATTATTATGTTTTACACTGGAATGTTATTTATTGGTGAACCTATACCTTAGGCCTTTTATTCATTGTTTTTACCTTACTCTTAATCTTCGTAGTTTAGTTTCCTTTTATTACAATATTTTGGTTACTTTATAATTTAGATTGCTTGAATTAATTAGGAATAGAAAGAATCGTTTCTCTGTGGATTCGACCCTACTTCCCTATCTATTATTAGTTAGTGCTTTTAGGAATTACTTTTGATTAGGTGATACAACTATAGCCTATCAATCCACGCTTTTTGAGAAATTTTTGAGATTTCGGGGGCCCGGTATCGAAAAGCTTTGAGATTCTAGGGAATATATCTCGGGGTCATATAATGTCGTTAGGGACCATATATGGTCATTATATGTTGTAATAGATGTTAGTGGTAGGCTTGAGTTAATGAAATCGGCGCAAGTTGTAAACCGGTAAATTGGCCTTTTAAAGGCAAATTGGATGGTTCCACCCATCCAATTGGACTCCCGGAGGGTATTACGGACCATGGCAAACATTTCGGCAATTTTTATTTTCGAGCGAAAAAAGTCAAAAAATTCCAAAATTGAAGGATAAGATCCATGATTTTTGAGAAATTTTGGAGGTTTCGAGACCCGGTGTCGAAAAGTCTTGAAATTTTAAGGCATACATCTTCGGTTCATGTATGCCGTTTGGAACTATATATATATATATATATATATATATATATATATATATATATATATATATATATATATATATATATATATATATATATATATATATATATATATATATATATATATATATATATATATATA